GGGGGGGGGGTGATCCCTGGCTGGTGTTAACGAGGCCCAGGACAGGTGGAGAAGCTGGGAGGGCCAGACGCCAGCCAGAAGCAGGCACATCACACCCTCCAGCCTGGGACTGAGTGGGCACCCCAAGCCTGCAAGGCCAAACCAGTAACCTCCCCACTGAGTGAGTGAAGACCAGAGAGGCTGACTGGCTCCCCAGAGGCCCTACATGGGGCCGAGCAGCTGTTAGATCACAAAGCCTATTCCCCTGGGCTGGGCTCAGGAAGCAACCCTCTTCCACATCCAACACTGCGTTCCAGTCTTGCTCAAAGTTCCTTTGTTTACCAGCCATTTCTCTCCATTTCCCCAGCCACCACTTTGTCCCACACCACCATCATGACTCACCCAGACAGCTGTGGAGTCGCCCTCTCCCTGAGTCCCCCCTTCCGGTGTTGCTTTCCTGAAATGCTTTCCCCACTCTGCACCCTGGGTGATCCGTCCTCGGGGCAAAATCAATCATGACCCCCGCCCCCAGAAGCCTTCGGTGCCCTCGGTGGGGAGGGCCAGCCCCTCACCACAAGCTAGGTCCTCTCCCCTGACCTGCCGCCACTCCCCCCCCACAAAACTACAGCCACAGTGATCTCCCTCCAGTCCCTCCAACGCACTGGGCTAACATCTACCTCGGCCCCCACCCAGGTGGTCTGTGCTGCCTGGAAATTGCTCCTCTTCCTCCTCCCTTTGTCCAGTTCACTGGTTCTTAAACTGGACCAGCAGCAGTAGCAGCAGCTGGGGACTTGTTAGAAACGCAGTCTGAAGTTGCGATGTTAAGACCATGACTAAGTGGCCAGGCTTGGTCCTTCCCAGGTCTGGTTTGATAAATGCTGGTGATAGACCAAGTCTGATTTATATCCTGCCTCTTCTGTGGGAAGTGCCTGGGATTCTAGGGATCTGATCAACCTCAAGAAATGATAGCACATTCAGCGTCATAGCTTTTGAAGATGACTGTTGTTAATTTGCCGTTAAGTGAATTATAAAACTGGGAAAAGAAATGTAGTTTCTTTCCATGATGTATATGTACAGCAAGTCATCGTGTTGGACATGTTAAATATACATAATTATATTTGTCAATTGTTCTTCTGCAAATTTGGGGGAGAAAAAGAAAGGTAAACCTCGTTTCCCGGGCCCCTCCCCAGATCAGCTGAGTCAGAGACAAGATGGTCCAACAACCTATATTTTAACAGACCCTTCCGATAATGCTGATGCACGCTCCAAATTTAAGATCCGCTGGTCTAGTGAATTCTTGCTGTCCTTCAGAGTATAGAGTTAGACCTCAGCTCCAATGCCACTTCCTCCAGGAAGCCCTCCTTGACCTGCAGGCCGGGGCTTCATGGCACACATTGCTTCTATGTTAGAGCCATTCTCACCACCAAAACCACATCGTCAGCTGTGTAACCCATGGAAAGTTCTTCTCTTCCACTAGAACATGTACTCCATGGGCCCAGGGAACCTGTTCTCTTTTGCTGATCTGCCCCCAGCACCGAGAACTGTGTCTGGCACTTAGGAAGTGCTCAGCCAATGCAGGTTGAGTGACCACATAAGCAAGCCCTGTTCTTCCAGTCCTTCCCGCAGCAAACACCTAGATTTACTGTGAGCCTGGACTGGGCCAGGGGCTGAAACAGGAAAAAGAGACAACCCCCACCTTCAAGGACCTACAAGAGGAAAAAACACGGATGGAGACAAATGGATTGAGCTGGGTCTTTAAGGAGGGATGGTGAGTTGCCTGGCAGAGAAGTCAGGGAAAGGAAGGGTAGAAGGAATGGCATTTGCATGGGATAGTGCAGGCTGCAGAGGCTGGAGAGTCATGCTGAGACCCAGTGACGGAATGTCACTGGTTGGGCCCCATCTTTTATTGTATTGTCTGCCATCGAGGAGCCACTGAATATTTTCAAGCAGGCAAGTTGCCTGATTTCATTTTATTAATCCCTCTGTGATACAGTTTGGGAAACCAAGAAGGGTGGGTTCAATCATTCATTTATTCCCACCGAAGAATATATGGAGGGTGTGGCCTTGTCCAGGGCACTGGGGTGCAGTGGTTGGCAGAACAGATGTGTCCTGGGGACTGGCAGCCTGTCCCAGGCACGCTACCTTTAGCCTCCGTCCCATAAGCTGGAGGTCCTGGCCACCATCAATACCCTCATTCTCTCCCTCAGTACCATCCTGGGCCCCTCCCTGCAGCCCCCTGGGACCACTGAGGCACCCCCCCCAGCCCCTGGTTCTCAGGTTTCTGGGGGATGAGTTCTGAGCGGTTCTTCCTGGGGAGGGAGGCAGCCAGCAGGCTCTGTAGGGGACAATGGTTGCCTTTGTTGCTTCTGCCAGAGTCTCTCCAAGAATAGCTGTTTGCTCAGCTCAGAGCAGGGCTGGAGCTGGGGTAGGAGGGTGTGGGGCCCAGGCACTAACCCCTGGAGCCTCTGGGGTCTCCTGCAGCTTCTCACCAGCCCAGAGGAACGAAGCAGGCAGCTATGGTCATCACTTAAAGCAGCTATGGTCAGTGTCCCGTCCTAAAACGCATCCTGTCTATGAGTTTAGAAAGCATTCTTTTTCCTAAATAGAACTGTATGCAGAAACCCAATATGCGAAACCAGGTGGCATCAGTGGTTCTGCTTAAAGGAGAGCGGGGACACAGCCCAGAGATCCCCAGCTTTTCCGTGCCTCCCTCCTCACCCCTTTGCCCAGGGCTTGCCCCCTCTGCGCTGCCCAGATGCCAGCCACCAGCTGACCTGGTGCCACGCTCCCATGTCACACTTGGTGAAACTGAGGCAAAGTGCCTTGTAGACAGAACGTGGCAGACCACTGCCGACAAGTGTCCAGCCTCTGATCAGCCCAGTGGCCCCGTGAGGAGCTGGGAAATGTAAAAAGGAGCAGATAGACAAGAAACAGGGTGGCCCTGGAGCTTTTCTTTCAAGCTCCTCTCCCAGGCCCAGGCGTGGACTGCCAGACCCTGGTCCACACTCTCCTGCGGTGCCCACCCAAGACCAGTGATCTCTGCCGCTGTCAGTAGCCTGGGTCATCAGAGAGACCCTGCGTGACTCACACTCATGGCCCCGGCCACTCCAGGGCTCTCACCACCAGGCCACACGGCTGAATGTCCAGACCAGTGGTTCTCAGAGTATAGGCCTGGACCAGCATCACCAACCGTTCCTAGAAATGGTAGAAACACAAATTCTCAGGCCCCACTGCAGACCTACTGAATCTGAAACTCAGAGGAGGGGCCGGGCAATCTGTCTGCAGAAAAATATTCCAGGTGACACTGCTGAGCTGGGAGAACAACTGGTGGAACCACTGGTTGGAGAACCACTCCAGCCCCTGGCCACAGCTGCCCAGCCGAACCTCCACCCGGCCAGCCAGACTCTCCAGGGAAAGGATCTACTAATCTCTAGCCTTAACAACACCAACAGAAAAACCAAGCAAACAAACCCGGAGACTTAGACTGTACCCCTGGATGATTCCAATGCCCAACCATTCCGGAAGACTATTCTGGAACCCAGGAAGGCACGGCCCTCCAAATAGCACGTGTGGCTCTGAGGCAGACACTTGTACCTACGTCTTAGTCCCAAATCCCACGAGAATCCCGCCTAAATCCATCTGAGCCCTCTTCACCCTCTGGGAACCTTCAGACCAGGGGATGGATTTAGCAAAATTGTCTGCCCTGGGCACCTCCCTCCCCCAGTCTCCCCATCCTTCCTGTCACCTCCGCTTAAACCAGTGTCTTAGGCAGTAACAAAATACCTCGGGCTGGGTGGCTTAAACAAAGAAATGAATTTCTTACAGTCCCGGAGGCTGGAAGTCGGAGATCAGGGGCCCTTGTGGTCCTATTGGGGTGGGACCTCTTCCTGGCTCACAGGCGGCCGCTTTCTCGCTGTGAGCTCACACAGGCTTCCTTGTAGCATGGGAGAGAGAACAATCTCTCTTCCCTTTCTTACAAGGCGACCAGTCGGATCAGAGGGGACCTCGCGCTCATGATTTCATTTAAGGCTATCTTCTGAAAGCCCTCTCTTCAAATGCAGTCATGTCAGGCAGGGGAAGAACTTTGGCATGTGAATTTGGGGGCACACAGACGTGCCTACAGCAACTGAATCAAACTAGTCCGTTTCCTGCCCTGAAATCTTCATGGCTTTTCAAGAATTCCAAGGATACTAGGACGCCTGGGTGGCTCAGTCCTTTAAGCCTCTGCCTTCGGCTCGGATCATGATCCCAGGGTCCTGAGATCGAGCCCCACATCAGGCTCCCTGCTCAGCGGGGAGCTTGCTTCTCCCTCTGCCTGCTGCTCCCCCTGCTTGTGCGCTCTCTCTCTCTCTCTCTCTCTGACAAATAAATAAAATCTTTAAACAACAAAAAAATAAAAATAAAATAAAAGAATTCCAAAACTATCAGCCATTTGTAGAAAAACCACTCCAGAGCCCCTAGGAATGACTCTCAGAGAAGGGAGTTCCAAGCTGGGAGAGGAACGTGTGGCCGGAGGGAGAGATCCTTGTGACAGAGCCAGCCCATTGCTGCCCCTTGAGGACCCAAGTCCCAGGCTCCTCCCCTGGGCAAACCCAGCGTTGTGACACCTGCCTCGTGCCCTTCCTCTGCCTGCAGTTCACATCCTGGATCGGGGGTGGGTGCTGCCTTTGGTGCAAATTCATTTTTTGGTCTGAGCCTCAGTACCCACACCCTTAGGGCCCCACATGGCGGCCCATCAGAAGCACCAGGAAGTCTGTTAAGAATTCAGATCCCCAGGCCCACCCCCGAACATGCTGGCTGGGTGGATAGAAGACAGCCCCCAGGCTCTGTATTGCTACCCAGTGCCCTCCCCACTACCGGGAGACTGTGGTGCAGCTGGGTCCTTGGGGGTCCCCCAGACCTGGCTCTCCCAGGGGTCTGCTGCAGCCCCACCCCCCCCAGGAGTCTTTTTTGGAAACCCCTCGTCCCACCTGCCCTGGGATCCTCCCCGCACCATGACCCGCTCTCCTCTCTCCCCACAGCGCGGCCCCCGCCGAGGCCCGGACCTTCAGCCTGAAGCACTCCGAGCGCGTGCGCGTGGAGGTGGTGCGCGACGGGCAGGCCGAGGAGGTGGCCACCAACGGCAAACAGCGCTGGCTTCTGTCGCCCAGCACCACGCTGCGGGTCACCATGAGACAGGCGAGCGCTGAGGCCAGCAGTGACAAGGTACCCTGGCTAGGGTCGCCCTCCGAGGGCGGCGAGGGCAGCGGGAACCGGGGGCGGGGCTAAAGCAGCGTCACCCAACTCAGACAGAACAGAACGTGCGCCACACTTGTCACTGCCCCGTTCGTAGCATCCATTCTCAAAAAACAGAAAGAGACAGGCGGCCTCCATTTTTATAGTATGTTTTCCTTAACCCCATAGATCACGTATTATTATTTTGACATGATGCTAATATTAAAAAAAAAAAATCCATGACATACCGTATGTTCTTTTTTACACCAAGTCTGTGTCATGCTTAGAGCAACATGTCAGATCAGATTTGCCACGGGACACTCCTGTGGCTGGTGACTACTGGACACGGAGACTCAAGGCCAGACCGTGGAAGGATGGCTTCCTGGAGTGTTAAAGCTGTGGGCTGCTGAGTGATATATTAGAATCACTGGAAGTTACAGCCCCAAATGTCCTTGGCCTCCTCCTGTATTAAATGGGGTGCTGAGTGCCCACATAGTAGGGCAATTTGCCCAGTGGTAAAGCTGAGACCTGACGTCTCTTCGCTGGGTTCTGTAGTTATGAACTTCCGATGCGCCCCGTGGCAGTGATGGCACTGGGCATTATTTAAAGAAAACCCCTCAGCCCTACCCCGGCTGCTTAGCAGGAGCAAGTCATATGCCATGGCAGATATGGCATGGGGGTAGGCAGCAGAATGCACCAGGACTCATAGGTAAGCAGTCAGTACCCTAATGCCCTCTAAGAAGAGGGGAGCCCCCTATCTGTTGGATAATTTGAGAGAAGCAGCCCACCAACCCAGGAATGCTTCCTGGAGGAGAGGGTTTGTGTGTTTGGGGAGAATTGGCTTGACAGGCTGTGAGGGGTGAGTCAGGGAGAGGGGTCACCGCAGATTTTCCTGCCTGTGATCTGTGATCTCTGCTCTTCTCTCCCTCCCAATGCACCCCCTTCCCTGCCAAGGTCACTGTCAACTACTATGAGGAGGAGGGGACTATGCCCATTGACCAGGCTGGGCTCTTCCTCACAGCCATCGGTAAGTTGGTGTGACTGCGGCCTGGGTGCTTTGCTCCCCGGGAGCTGACCCTGCTGCCCTTCTCAGCGGCACTTGGCCTGAGTCCAGTGCTGCAGACCTGACACTCAGAGCTTCCTCTGAATAATGCAGGCCTGAGAAGTGATGCCACACGTGCCCGGGCCCTTCTGTCCTGGGGTGAGGGATGTCCTGCAGGAGGAGGCATACCCTGGTCTGCCAGCACCTCGCCCCCAATGTCAGCATCCCCACCCCAGGCTCTGTGGGCCCCTGAGAAGAAAGAGCAGAGTCTGTTCCTCCCCTGCCTCTCCCCCACAGCCTGGAGAAGAGCTTGTCCCTCAAAGTGAGGGAAATGGCCAGTCTGCTCTGTCCCTGACAGTCCCAGCTACCCCCTTGCCCTCCCTAGACCCTGCCCTGGGAACACAGAGAGGCAGCCTGGTTCCTTAACTCACCTAGTCCAAGCCTTTCATTTGGCATGGAGGACAGGGAGGCCCAGAGAGGTTAGGGAACTTGTTCAAAGTCACACAGCATCTCCCTGGCAGGTTGGGTCCGGGGCTCAGGACGATCCCCCTCTCCGGGCTCTTCACATCTGCAAAGCACTCCCCTGCCCGGGTTCTGGGGCTCGGGCGGTGTGGTTTTCTTCCAACACTCCCCTCTTCTGCAGGTGAGGTGTTACTTTTACATCTTCCTTTTCATCTTAATTACATAATGTTTAAGGCAGGAGGACATGTCAGGGGGTCGTTCTGTCTGTCCAGCCTGATTTAGCATTGCCCGAGCTGCCCCACCGCAGGGCGAGAGAACTTTCAGCTACTGAGAACCAACCGAGTGCGGAGAGCTTTAAAAGTTGCAAAAATGTCTCGCACTTACTCAAAACCTACTCTGGGTCCTCTACAGTGCTGGGTGCTTCGAAGAGGAGAAGGAGAAACACCCAACCTTTCTTGAGCGCCGACTGTGTGCCCAGTTCCGGTCCTTCACTGTCACGGTCTCAATCTTCTCTTCCAACTATGGCCAGGATAGATAAGGGGTCTCAGAACTTCCCCCCAAAACAACCAATTCCCACTCAGCTTCTCCTCCTCCAACCACCAGAGTAGCAGCAGTGTACCTCTGCCCTCAGCTTCTTCCCCGGTGGGCTTTGTTTGCTGGTCACCCTGACCCTCTTTCTGCATGGGGGGGAGTGCCTGGCCTTGGGCTGGGCTCCTCGGGACACCCTCGGGGAGGGGGACCCTGGAGGAGGGTCCTCACAAGCACACACGGCCCCTGGGCGTCTCAGATGACCTGTCCTGAGGAAACCTAATCCCACAGAGACGGGGACACCTGAGGACGTAAGCAGGAAGGGCAGTGGCCAGTGGTCCCAGAGGGCTGACGCCACCATGAGCAAGTCTACCCCCGAAGCCAGGCAGACAGGATAGATGGCAAAACAGTGCCCCGTGAGGAGGCAGGACCGGACCCCCCCCTCTCATCCGAAGGACTGGGGAGCTTGTGCTCGAGGGAACAGCAGGTTCCACAGACCAGTAAAGTGCCCACCCCGTCCCCAGTAATAAGCCTGACATTGTTGGTGCTTGGCCAAAAAGAAAAAAATATGTGAATATGTATTTATAAAATATAAATAAAATAATTTGCCAACAACTATCACCATCATTCTAACATTTTTCACACTTAAAAAGTAGACAGAGGAATCATTCCAGAATAGAAGACAGTCACTTACATTGCCGAAATAAAGTCTTGCGGAAACCTCACCCGCTGAACTTACATTTCCTGTTCTACCAGGGACCCTGGGGGAAATTGGTTCCCCTTAGGGCCCGCTGGTCTGTCTGACCCTCTGGGTCTTGTCTTTCTCAGGCATCTATTCCAGGGGCCCTGAGCCCCAAGTCCTGAGTAATCATTGCCCCTTCCTAGGAAGGGCACCTCAGAGGCAAGGAATACCCCAAAAGTTCTGGGATAGGGGGCTGCCCCCCCAGGGATATATCAGAGTCCACCAAACCCTAGCTCTGCCCTGAGCCCCACATTCCTCACCTGCCCCGAGGGACCCACAGTGCCCTTGTGCACAGTGCTCACGGAGATCCGATCATGGGGCCTGGGGTAGACACTCAGTCAATACTCGTTCTTCTCGCCCTTCTGCTTGGGGTAGCCACATTTTCCTTCCACCTGGGCAAAGCTGAAGAACCCTATTGTCCCTCAGTCTTCCTCCTGGGACTTGGAAACAAATCCATGGTGCCCTTGGCCAAACCAGGCCCTGGGGCTTGGCTCCCAGTCCTGCCAAGGACATGCTGTGTGACCTCACCAAGTAGCCCGCCCCTTGGGACCTCACTTTCTCCCAGCTGTAAAACCAAGGCTTTGAGCCTGCTGACGGCCTTCAAGACCCCAGGTAGGACTGAATTGGAAAGTCCTTCCTGTGAAGGGGACTGGGGGAAGAGAGGGGTGGGAGACAGAAGAATGGTCTCCCCGTCTTGGCTGTGGTTCTGGCAACAGGAGCAGGACATGAGCCTTGAGAATTATTAGCCTCATCCTAAGGATCTCATTTCTTGTGCCCCCTCCCCAGAGCCTAGGCTGATTGCCCTAGTTGGCTGTGGGGGAGAAAGTCCTGCCTCCCCACCACACCCCGTGCTGCCCGGTTACATAAGAAGGGCAGGCACCCTGCTCCTGCCCCTGCCCCTGGGGGCCGGCAGCCTGCCAAAATGCTTATCCTCTGTGTCAAGCCTGAAGCCTCGGTGTCTGGATTCTCAGGGCAGACTACCTTGAACTCAATCCCAATGACATTTCCCATAAATCTGCCCCACACCCCAGGTGCCACCTGACCCCTTGGGGCTATTCTGGGGAGCTGAGGTAGGATTCTGAGCCTCTGGGAAATGTCGTCTGGAGCCCAGATGCCCCGAAACAGCTGTCCTCACCCCCTTCCCCTTCAGGGAAGACAGAGCTATCTCAAGACGACAGAGCTCTGGGTGGGTCACGATGGCCCTGTCCTCTGTCCCTGCAAGGATCATCTCTGCGGAAATCTAGTTAAATGCGACATTGGAGGGAACTTTGAAGGGGAAAAGCCCAGGCGGTTGGGAGGTGGGTGATAAGAGAGCCTGATGACGTCATGTCTGAATTTTATAACAGGAAGTCAGTGAAACTTGTCTGAAGTTAAAGTTAAAACTTGTCTCAAGGGAGAGCAATAAGCGTAAGACTCGGTATTCTGGAGATTTCCTAAGGCAGGTGAGAGGATAGAATGGGCAGGAAACTGCTATTTTTTAGAAGGTGTTTGGTGCTATTTGAGGTTTGCTTGTTTTGTGTGTGGGTTGTTTTGTTTTGTTTTGTTTTGCATTTTGTGCAAATATTCCATCGATAAAATTTTTATTTAAAAAAAATTTTTTTAGAGATTTTATTTATTTATTTGAGAGAAAGAGAAGGAGCAGGGGGAAGGGGGGGGGAAGCAGACTCCCCACTGAGCCTAGAGCCCAATGTGAGGCTCGATCCCAGGACCCCGGGATCATGACCTGAGTGGAAGGCAGAGGCTTAACCGACTAAGTCACATGGGCGCCCCTACATCGACAAAATTTTTAAATTTAAGGAATTTATCATGAAGGAAGACACAGTTAAGTGCTTTGTAATTTCTCTCCTGTGGCCCACTGTGTCCGTGGACCCACCAACAGCCATGGTGTCCTGTCACCTTGAACTAGAGACCAAAGTCCCAGGGCTGCCAGGGTGGGGATGTGCCCAGCTCCCCTGGGAATGGCCTTAAGGGGAATAAGCCTTGGGTCTTTGATGGCGGACTTGGCTTTTAGAAACATCCCAAGGTGGAGATCAGCCTGAGTCAGTGGAGAGGAAACGGGCCAAGGTCAGGGGTCTGGAGTCAGAGGCCTGAGTGGGATGCCTGGCTCTCCACTCTCTGGAGACTTTGTGGGCATCTCCCTGCAGGATGCCTTGGTCTCCCCATCTGTGCGGTAGTGGTAAGTCATCTCTGCAGGTGTGACTAAGGGGAGAACACGCGATTAGAGGCACTCTGCCTCTGGAGAAGGGAACTGCACACACAGAAGAGATTGTTACCTGGAAAAGCAAAGACAGGGGGTTCCTTAGGGAGCCCAGGACTGTGGTTGGTTCCCGGGGAGGAGCTTCAGGAAGCCAACCTCCCTGAAAGGCAACACTCACTGGGGAGTGTCCAGTTGGAAAGTTCATGAAGGTCTGGAAGTCAAAATCAATACTGTTCCTCCATCAGAGCCTTCAATCTCTTTAACAGCAGCTGGCGGTACCTGCCTCCCCACTTGGTCTGGAGAATCCCTACCCTGCACCAGCCTCCAGGTTATCTATCAGCCCAGTTTGCTGACAGGTGACGTCTCGAAGGCTGGGTTTGCTCACCTCTACAGTCGTGGCAATAATAATATTTATCTCATCGGACTGGGGACTCCAGGGTAGGCAGGTGTCCAGAATGCCCACCGCTGGGCCCCCCACACTCTGTAGAGCGCCTGGAATGAGGGGATGCTCAATGATGATTTATTGACAGATGGGATCGATAGGACGAGCTTATCTAATAATCACGGCCTATGGCACCCAACTGACAGCCGGGCTGCAGAGACTGGGATGCAGGGGTGCTCCCTCTCCCAAAGGACCAAGCGCCCTGAGAGTTTCCCCTGTCCTGCCTCCTTCTAGACCCAGAAAAGCCACATTCAGGGAATCAGACTGTGAGCAAAGAGAGGACTTGTGTATTATCCCCAGGGTGAGCCGCCTCAGGAAGGGTGACATCAGCAGCCCTTCCTGTGCCAGGACCCTCCTCCCCACCCGATCCAGGGAGAGAGCACGCCTGCCAAGGGGACAGACCAGGAATGCATTCACTCCCACCCAGCTCCCGCCTCTGTCCAAGTCATGCTCCGCGTGAGGCCTGGGCATTTCCAAGACCTGGACTCAGCTCATCCATTGTGTGACACTCCATCACCTCGGGACAACTCCTCAGCCCTGCCCTGTCCTGTTAGTCTCTAACTCGGGGGGCCATTTGGCCTCCCAAGGGACATTTGGCAATGTCTGAAGACATTTCGGTTGTCGCAGTTGGGGGGTGTCACTGGCATCTGGCAGGTGGTGGCCAGGGATGCTGCTAGACATCCTCCAATGCAGGTAGAGGAACTAGGGCTCAGAGAGGCTGTCCAACCTGCCCAAAGTCACACAGCTTATAAGCAGAAAACCAGGGTTTGAACCCAGCACTGTCTAACACTTAATCTTGGGCTCCTTTCACTGCCCCACATGGTTTCCATGAAGCTGGTCCCTAGGACAGGCCTAGAGATACCAAACAGCCCTTCCCCAAGAGAAAGAATAAACAGAGACCCCAGATTGAGTCCTCTATCTGAGAGCCTGGCTTTCTCAGGCACCCTCAGACCAAGAGGGATTGGAGACCCAGCTTCCCATCCAAGGTAAAACCCCGATGGGAGGCGGAAATTCTAGAAGAGATCACACACGTGCGTGTGTGCACACTGCCAGGACAGACGGAGAAAGGCAGGGATGCCTATGAAAGTTTTCAAAATCCGAGCTTCGGGTCAGGCCAAATGCAATGTGCCCCAGTTCCGCTAATGCCGCCTGTCCACACGGGGCACGTGACTTGGCGTCTCTGAGCCAAGTCTCCTGGACCTATCTCATGGGGCTCATCCCACCCACCACCCAGAAACGTCTGCGGAACCATGAAGGCTGGGGGGATCCCTGCCCTATGTGATCGCCCCTCTCCAGGCCGTCATGTGTGAGGTTGGCACAGTATCCACTTACATCCTCCATCGGGCGGTGGGGGGCTGGGGCAGGGGGCTGCCTGAGATGGCAGCAAGACCCTCCCCTTCCAGGGACCCAGGGACCAAGCAAACGTGTGAGCTGCACAGGGCTTCCCCCCCGGCCCTTGCCCCACCCCGCCCTGTCTGGCAGGCTCCACAACTCACGCGTGTGTCTGTCCCCAGAGATCTCCCTGGATGTGGATGCAGACCGGGACGGTGTGGTGGAGAAGAACAACCCGGGAAAGGTACCGAGCTACCAGGGCAAACGGCCCCGGACTTGGTGGGGAGGCTCCCGGGGGTGCAGAGCAGAACCCTAGGATGGGTGCTGCGGTCAGCCGCGGTCCTCCCCGCAAGCACGGACAGCTCCCCTTTTACAGAGAAGGAGACTGAGGCCCAGCGCAGGCTCCCACACAGCGCGCCCATGGCAGAACCCACAGAGGAGCCAAGTGCCTCACAGCCGTAGCCGCCAAGCACCTTCCTGAGTCGGTTCCCCGTCCACAGGACGGAACACCCGGTTCGTAGAGCTGTTGGACGGCGTCCTGCCACAGAGGAGGCATTCGCTCTTATGCCTCGGCCTTCTTGTTCATTTTAAAACCGAACGAGGGAGACCCTCGGGAGCAGAAGGCCGCGTAAACCATTCTCGTTCAAGGCGTGTTATCTTTAAGGGCGCACCAACACCCCCTCTCTTGTTTTATTCACCCATTCATTCATTCATCCCTGCATTGGTTCATATCTTCATTCCTTCACTCCCTCTGACCCTGCGTTCCACACTCCCATTCAGCTCCCCTACAGAGGACCATTTTAATGGGTTTGGTGTGTTCCTTTCCGTTCTCATGATTCTTGCAAAACACACCGTGTGCTTGGTGCACATGTGTCTTTTACCTGCGTAGACAGCACTGTGTTCTCCGGCTCCTTCGGCTGTGGCCTTCGCCCTCCAGCCAGGTTTTAAGCTCCACTGGTTTTGCTCTGTGTACATGCAACGTTCCTTCTCCATTCCATTTCCCGGCCTTCTAGATCACTTATGTTGGTGGTTTATGTTACTTTCATAATAACAACCCAAAGCCTGTTTTAAATTACATGTAGATGGATACTTGCAAAAGTTAAATGAGCACAGCCCAGGGAGAAGCCTGGGTCCCAGCAGCCAGCCACAGACTCTCTGTACCAGGGATGCGGGTCCTCAGGCCTGTGGGGGAGCCCCCTCTCCCCGGCTCCTCCATGGGACTCCGCCTTCTGGAGGGCTCCCGCTGCAAGGAGACGCCGAGTCTGTGTCCGTGGCCAAGCCACATGACAGTAGACTCCACGGAGGCCTCGGTGACACCCCGCCTCCCCCGAGCAGTTCTGCAGCCTTGGTGAAGTCCCACAGTCCTACGGGTCTAGACTTCCTCAGACTCTCTCTATCCGGGCCTGTGAGGCTTCATATGTTCTACCCTTGTCCCATAAGTATTTGTTGATGTTCCCGGACAGGTCAGGCCCTGCAGCTGCAGAAGGAAAGAGTGGAATTCAGCTGCTGCCCTCCGGGAGCCCGCGGTCCAGGGCAAGAGGAGGGAAGGGGGGCCTCTTTAAACAGAGTGTCCTGGGTGACCATCTCATCACAATTGTCCCAAGCTCGCCTCCAAAGGGAACATGTATGGGGCCCTAAATGTAACCCCAGTGCAGCCGCTCAGGGCTGGAAACTTAGAAAATCTTCTGGAAAGAAGGGATGGTCCTGCCAGGACCCCAGGAGTTGTGAGGTTGGTCAGGCGAGGGGAGACCGACAGTGTCGGGAGCACAGGACCTGTGAGGGCACCAGCCTGAGAGGTCCTGAATCTGTATGGAGGGAGCAGAGCGAGCCAGCAGGAAGGGGGATGGATGGAGAGTGGGCCGGGCTTACCCGGCCTTGCAGCCCACAGTCAGGGATTGGGGCTTTATCCTAAGTCAACAGGGAGCCCCGAACAGGGCTTACAGCAGGAAAGCAACATGATCTGGTTGGAGCTTGTTCTAGTAAGGCCCTGGCTACAGTGGAGAGAACGGATCACCTTGCAGGTCCCATTTGGAGCACTCAGCATGTCTGGAAACAGCTGGGTGTCCGTCCATCCAGGCGTCTCCCCTCTGATCCCCTCCGGGGACTCCAGAACCTGTTGTAGAATGCGAACCTCCTCATTCCTCCGGCCGCCCTCCGTCTCCCTGCCTCCACCCCTTCCAGACACAGGCACACCAGGCTTGCGGCTCATAAATACCCAGTGTCCCCATCTCTGTGTCTCCTTATGCCACCATCCCCCTCCTGAGCTTGTCTCTGGTGCCTGCACTGAGCCTCTCCGGGCATCAGACGTGGGGTTCACATTTGCCACATCACCCCTGCCTCGATGCATGGTAGCTCTGTTTATCCTCATCCTGGGACTGTCTCTTGAGGGTCCTGTGGGGTCTGTGGCAGAGCTCGAATCAGCCAGAAGGTAGACAAGAAGGTGCTGACCCTTTCCCTGACATTGCAGGCATCCTGGACCTGGGGCCCTGAGGGCCAGGGGGCCATCCTGCTGGTGAACTGTGACCGAGACACGCCCTGGCTGCCCAAGGAGGACTTGAACGATGAGAAGGTCTACACCAAGGAAGGTGCCAGCAGGACTCACACTTGGAATGGGTGGGGGGTTGGGCAATGAAAACACGCATGCTCAGCCCTGGGCTGGGCCAAGACTGAGGCAGGAGTGACCTTCAGTCTCCTGGGGATGGTGGACTCCAATATCCACTCTTGGGACACCTGGGTCACTCAGTCTGTTAAGCATCCAACTCTTGATTTTGGATCAGGTCGGGATCTTGGGATTGTGAGATCAAGCCCTGTGTCCAGCTCTTTGCTGGGTCTGGAGCTTGCTTAGGATTGTCTCCCTCTCCATCTGCACCTCCCTGCTCTGCTCTCTCTCTCACTCTCAAAAAAAAAAAAAAAAAAAAAAAAATCCATTCTTGCTAAAAAACAGAAAAAAACTATTAACAAGGATCAATGGGAACCATGGTTTTGTAACGGGAGTTACACGTACACAAACACATAGGGAAAGGACTGGAAGGAAATTCCCAAAAAGTTACAGGAGGTCATGGTATTAGAGAAGACAACCTGTTGTTGTGCTTCTCTGTGGTTCCTACAATACACATGTGTGGGGTTTTCTGTCCCGATTGGAAAAGCAACAATTATTCCTGAGCTCACATTCCAGCTGCCTGTCTCTTAATTCTAACCTCCTCTGTATCCCCCGCTCCCCAGACCTCAAGGACATGTCCCAGATGATCCTGCGGACCAAAGGCCCTGAGCGCCTCCCCGCCGGATACGAGATAGTTCTCTACATTTCCGTGGCGGACTCAGACAAAGTGGGCGTGTTCTACGTGGAGAGTGAGTGACCCCAGTTCAACCCCTCTGGAAGTTTCTATCCATTTGGTGCTCACTGAGCTAACTTCCCCAGGGCCCCGGTTTGCCCTCCTGCTCCCCAGAGCACCCTCCCCCAGCAGCTATGACCTCTGCAGGTGCAGGTGACTGGAGAGGGCCAGGACCTGCTTCTTAGTAACGGTCCCTGGGAGCACTGTTGCTGTCCTGTGAAGTCAGGAGGCCCCAGGGATAGGCCTCTCCTCTCCCAAAGGAGTTGGTACTGATGGGGGTTTATGTACAACCCAGAGCCCCTCTCTCCTCTTGATGGTGACAGGATATCCTGGGCCCTAGCTGTGTAGGGAACATGCTTCTGCCACAGAACCAGTCCTCACAGCCACCTGCTCTGTCTCATGCCTCCTATAAATACGTGTTGAGCCCCCTCCACACCCAGCACTGTTCTCAGTGCTGGGGTCCCCTGCAGTGAGCTCTGCAGTCACACCCCATGTGTGTCTCCCTCTGCCACCATCCCTCTCCTGAGCTTGGGGGAGGGGATGGTCTGGGCATGATAAGGAGCACAATGGGAGAAAATGACACCCACCAAGTACTAGGGACTTTCAGAGGCAGAGGTGAGAGATCGCAGGCCCTGGGCCATCCAGAAAGGCCTCACTGAGCAGGTGACATTTGAGCTGAGGCCCAAATCCACAGTGTGAAGGACCCAGACATTCATGAGCTGAGGGAAGTGTTCTAATTAGAGGAAACAGCACACACAAAGCAGAGAGGAGTGGAACCAGCTTGGAGTGTTAGGGGAGCAAAAGGGAGAGACTAGAGGTGGGGGATGTGTTGGAGTCAAGGTCAGCAAGCTGGACAGGGACCAGGGGCATGAGGAGCAGGCTTGGATTTTATTCTGAGAGCAGTGAAAAGCCATTAGAGAGTTTTAAGCAAGAGACTGTCAAGATCTGATTTATGTATTAAAAAGCTCTCTCAGCAAAATAGTTAGCTTTGCAATTTGCCATGATGCGAGGTGGGGTTTCCCCTGTGTGCCCAGCTGTCTGGGGGGCCCAGGATCTCTGGCCTACCTCTGGGGACCACCAGGACAGTCGCCATGAGGAGCTAGTCATGGGAGCCCCGGACCCTCACTGCAGGGAGTGATTTAGCCCAGACAGCAGTGGACCGCTGCCACCCAAGGCCAGTCCTGATCCACCCTGGGCCTGGCAGTGGCCTCCCGGAGATTGGAATGTCCCCAGAGTCAGGCCGGCTCTGCTGCCCCAGGGGGCCGGGGCTGCTGATGTTTGTCCCCGTCCAGTCCAAGGCAACCGCAGAGGATGGGGCTGACGGCGCGGCAGGAGGGAGTGGTACAGCAGGACCCCCACCTGCTCCTCTCGACCGTGACATTCAACTGGGACATGCGGCGTGTTGTTAATAGTGGCCCCTGGCCATTATCTAGAGGGTGCTGCTCATTAATGGGAGTGGATTGTAGTCTGGCCCCATAATCGCATCCCTGCCCCTCCCTTGCCATCCGAGATGGGCCCTGAGCAGACAGACGCCTTGAGACACTGCTGTTCCCTAGTCTGCCTTATAGGACTGCTGTCCTGTGGGGCACAGGGGGCACCTTACTGATGCAGTGATGAGTCTAAAATAGTTTTCCCACGAAATGCGGAATCCTGGAAAGAACGGAGTGGGGAGTAGGATGGGGAGGGGGTTTCTCCGTCTGTGGCAGTTTCCCTTTCTTCTGTGCAAACACTTCCAGGTTTTGTCAAAATCTCAGTACACCTATGGGGGAGAATGGGCCGCATTACACAAATGTTTCATGTCACCTGGGTCCCCCAAGAGCAGGGAGCTGGGCTGAAGGCCAAGGGATCCTAAGAAGGAGCTCTGGTGCCTGGGGGGTTCAAACCCTGCATCTGGGCAAGTCTACTTACCAGTCTGTGACTTGGGTTCAGCTGTGATGTGACGTGGGGATGATGGGGGGCATGACGGTCCCTGCTAAGGTTGGGGACTAAACAAGGACCATGTGTGAGACACCCAGCGCAGGAGTGGGCCCATGGAATGCCCTCTAGAGATGGCCCTTGTTGGTTTGGCTGGGATCGTTCTGATGATCATGAATTAGAACCCTTGCAATAGACAGAAGTCCCCCGTGCTGTTAGGAAGACACTGATATCTGGGTTCCAGCCTCAGATTCTGCCCCAGGATCCTGAAGTTGGGGCCTGACTTCTTCCAATAACAATACAGTGACCAGCTTGTCCCCGTTTGCACAGGACTTCCCTGGTTGTCACAGTGAAAATCCCCCTCCCTGGGAAACCCGAGTCCCAGGCAAACCAGGACAGTTGGTGGCACCATCAGGGAGTCTCCTTGGGAGCTTGGGAGGTGGAATGGCTCCAAGGTGACCAGAAGGGTTATGCCAAACCAGACCACGCGCCGGCCAGTAGGGCCAATGCCTGGGGCCAAGGAGAGGTCAGGGTGGCTGGCAGGCCCAGCCCGGGGCACGTGGGCCGCTCAGAGAAGGGCATTGTTGGTTCCTGCAGGGAGAGCCGGCCATGCTCAGGCAGCCTGCCCCAAGCTGGGGGCAGGGGAAGCAGGCTCCTTGGGACAGTGGCTGCATTGTTCCCACCACCGAGTCAATCCACCTGGAGCTGGCCCAAGCACCAGAAAGAGAGACGTGTGTAAATCACAGGCCACAGGAGGGAGAAAATTACCTGCAGAGGAGTGAGAACGTGTCCTTCCACCTGACCCAGCTTCCTGGCCAGACCCCATCCCTCCCCAGGCCCAGGTGGAGTGCCCCGCCACCCGGAGTCCTGGGGAAGCTTTGGAGGTTTCTGCAAAGACAAGTCAGCTTCTGGGCCCGAGATCTCTCCCCTGAGCCTCAGCCCAGGCAGCCTGAATGCCTGGAAGAGACCTTTTTAATTACAAAGATCTTTCTGGATGTATTCAGCAGTTAGGATCTACTGAGGGCGCACCATGTTGTTTCCGAGTGAGAAGGACTTCATCTTCTCGGTCAGCTCCTTGGCACGTCCAGGGTCTCAGCCTGTTGGCCTCATTTCTTGGGCCCAGCCAAGGGGAGGAGAGGTGAGGTATTGTTTCTTTGCCTTCTGCTCATAAGCCATTCAACACAAAGGCCATGAGTTTTGCAGAAATGGGCGTGCCAACTCGGCTCAGGCGCTCGTCTTCCTGACATCTACAGGTCCTGGCTGTGTTAATGATGGTTACCCGTGGTTAACGGGTGTCCCTAAGTTACTGATGCTGTGTCATTCTATCTTGCAATGACCTTGTGGCCTAGGTGATATTAGACCCATTTAATAGATAGGTAAACTGAGGCTTGGGAAGTTTAAGTGAATTCCCAGAGATTTTGCTGCTTGTAAAGCCTGAATGGTATTGGAACCCAGGTCTCTCTGACTCTGGAAGTCATAACCAGTAAGGTCACGTGCCCTCAATGAGACGTATAACCAGGGTCCCCCGAACACATTGTCCTACGTGAGGAGCTGTCCCAAACCCAGGCTTCGGAGTTTCCTCCATTTAATCTGCTGGTTTTCAGCATACACCCTGTTTGTACGAGGACCGACCCACGGGTGACTAGTGATTAACCATCACTGTTGTTGCTGACAGTATGCCCTAAGCTGAGCCTGATTCTGCCCTTCCAGCTCTGCGGGGCATAAAGAAACTCCTTCTGGAACTACATAGGGTTCTGCCTCCACGCCTTTGGCAATGCAAGTATCTGTTTCCTCTCCTCACCGTACCCCACCTCTGCCACCCCAAAGGGCATCTCAAAGTCTCCCTTCATCTGCTCACATGCTCCCCATCCTGCCTCCCTTCCCCCCACTCCCCACCCCAGTAACCTGCCCAGAGCTCTCACCCATGTTACAACACTTCCCACGTCAGCGTTATCATCGGCCGAGCACTGCTGTTGGACAGACAGAGGTATAGAATCTTGCCCATTTCTATCCACTACCCCCCACCCCAGAGGTTGCCCATGCTGGGAACAGAGTAGTAATGCTGCTCTGGCCTGAAAATTCTCCTATAGGGAGTGGTGTGGAAGCCACGGGGTCATTCGGTAGACATTGATTAAACACGACCTGTGTGATGCTGGCACTGGGCCCAGCCAGGCCTGTCTCGGCCCTCAGGTGACAGTCTCTCAGGGCCAAGAACTAAACACTGAGATCATATCCCCTCAGAAGGGCTGTGATGGGCAAGGAGGAGACGGCAGAAACTCCACACGGACCCCGGCTTGGTGTCTGGAGGATCCGGGCGTAATTCCCAGAAGGGACCCAAATCGAGGCCTGGAAGGAAAGAACAACTCTGCCCAGTGGAGGGAATGGCACTGGAAAGAGCTGGGGGATGCCAGTGGGACAGACGCACCGGGGAAACCTGCCTTTCCGCCCAGCCACGAGCCAGTACAGCCGGACACCATGCGTGTGGCTTTACACCAATGTGACTTTCATCACACAGACAGAAATTTGGGATATAAATGGGCATCTTGGGGTTTTGCGTATAAAAGGGGAGGGGAGCTTGGGGTTCAGAATTGCACATGAATTTGAGCCCCAGCTTGGCCACTTGCTGGTTATATGACCACAGCAACCCACTTCTCCTTTCTGAGACTCGGTTTCCTCATGTGTAAAGCAGGAACGTACTGTCCTTCCTCAGCCCCTCTCAGTGCTCGGTCATCACCTGCTATCAGAGCGCCTGGGCCATTCCTGGGCGCCAACCCATCTTCTAGATGAGGAAGCTGGAAGCTAGAGAGGTGGTCCGGTTCTCACCACGGGCGAGCGCGCGGCAGTGCTGGGACGATGACCGGCGCCATGGCCCTTCCAGTGGCATTTTCTGCTTGTGCTTATCTCCCTGTGTCTAGAGGACGAGTCATTCTGCCCTCTTGTCCCCTGCCCCACTGACACACCCCTGGTGGGGGCGGGGGCCTGACATGAGCCCCTCTCCCTCCAGACCCGTTTTTCGGCCAACGTTACATCCACATCCTGGGCCGGCGGAAGCTCTACCACGTGGTCAAGTACACGGGCGGCTCGGCGGAGCTGCTGTTCTTCGTGGAAGGCCTGCGCTTCCCCGACGAGGGCTTCCCGGGCCTGGTCTCCATCCACGTCAGCCTGCTGGAGTACATGGCCGAGGTGAGGGCTCCTGGGTCGCCACCATGAAGGGCCATCCCTGGGGACCAGGTGGGAGTCTTTCCAGCATGCCACTCTCAGGGATTCCCATGAGGCTCCAAAGCACTGGGGCGGGGGTGGGGGTTGGCCAAGCTTAGAGACCCACCCACCAACCTACGTGCACCTGCCTGCCAGGCTCCTCTGGGCTGTACTCTAGGGGTCCTCCTGCTGGCCGTACCTGCTCCCCAGGAACCCCCATGGGTGAGATTTTCCGGCGTTCCCCACAGTGGTGTGGTCTGTCCTCCTCCCTGCAGCACTATAGGCCTAGTTCTGAGGCACAGATGCCCAGGCAGGAAGGAAACTAGGCCATACACTTGAGGTTTTCCCTCCCCAGACTGACCCTTCACCCTAACTGTGGGTTATACCAACTCTGACCACAGGCTGAGCCCATCCCCCCAACCCTGCAGGCAGACATCTCACTCGCCGTTGTTCTTGGTTTGGGGAAACTGGACGAGAAGGAGAATGTCTGCCCCTCTAGAGGAGAAGCCCCCCTCACTTAGAGTGTGTCCTGCTGACAAGGCCTCTTCTCGCAAAGACCACAGCCCCAGACTCCCACCTCTCGGGCCCACCCCGCTTTGCTCAGGTGTAGGGAGGGACCTGGCTGCCCTCCCCGACACAGGGTCCCCTCCCCATTGTCACTTCCAGAGTACTGGGGGCAGGGCACAGTGGGCTCTGTAGAAGGAGAGGCTGAACCTAGCTTACACTTATGAGAACGGGCTCTGGAGTCAGACTGCCCAGTTCCAAGCCCTGGGAGACACTGGGCAGGTGAATTTGCCCCCTGTGCCTTAGTTTCCCCATCTGTAAGACAAACGGCAGAAGTTTCTGCTTCCTGGGGTGGTTGTGAGCACCCATACTTGTAAGAACTCCTTCACAAAGCATCCTCAAGTCCCTCAGAAGAATAAAGGCAGGAAAGGCAGCACTAACAGGACGGGACAGAGAAGGGCTTCTGCTCCCATCTGTGCCTGGAGTAGCCTGGCCATCGGGGCCTCAGACTGGCCCCTCCAGCAGGCACCAGCGGAGACTCACAAGGCAGACTCAGGCAGGAAAGGACAGCTAGGGCCCTAGTCCCACCTGCTCCCACGGTCTCTGCCAAGGGCAGGTGCCCATTTCCTGTAGCTGTTCAAAGCCAACTACATACGCAAAGGAACCCCAGAATCGACTCATTTTCCCTCAGGTTCCAAGCAAGCTTCCTGAACCTTTACTTAAAGAACCATCTGGACATAGCAAAATTTCCCCGAGAAACATTAAAACGCTCACCTGTAGAAAAGAGCAAGGTCCCAAAGCAGAGACAGAAGAAGGCGTGGCTGGCCCAGCCATCCTCTGGGCTGGTTTCAGGACAGGGACTTTGATGGGGCAAGACCCAATCGTGGTTGAGAGTATGAAGGCAGCAGCCTGACCACGTGGGTTTAAATCCAGGCTCCCCCCGCCCCCGACTGACCACATGAAACAGGTCTGTGACTAAAAGCCTGTGACTCAGTTTCCTACCTGTAAGACATGGGTTATAATAGTATCTTCCCCCTGCAGTTGCTGTGAGGCAGAAATGAAATGGCATGTGTGGCGCTAGCCCAGGACCTGGTATACTACAAGTGCTCAATAAATGTAGTTTTGTCATCAGATTCACCCACTTTAGGAAGCAGGCATCAAAGCTACCCTGACCAGACTTTCTGGTCCCCTCACCTCTCCCACATCCAGAAGATTCCCCTGACACCCATCTTCACGGACACCGTGATATTCCGGATTGCTCCGTGGATCATGACCCCCAACATCTTGCCTCCCGTGTCGGTGTTCGTGTGCTGGTAAGCAATGGCCAGGGCGCAGGGAGGTGGCACGGCCGAGTCGCTAAAGCTGGGGCTTTATGGACAGACAGCTCTGAGTTCAGAGCCTGGCTCTGTCCCTTACCCACTGTGTGACCTTGAGCAACTCCCTTGACCTCTCTGTGCCTCTGTTTCACTGAAATGCTGACATCACAGCATCACTGTGGGCACTAAATGAAGCAGGTCAAGTATTAATCCAAGGTCCTGGCTCTTGCGTATGCTATAAAAATAAGGTCTGTCACCCCTTTTCTCATTTTTGGCTTGCATCGTCTGCTTGGGAACCTCCTGTGCAGTGGATATTCAGCTCCTCTTATGCAGCTTTTTTTTTTTTGAGCAGCTATCATGTGCTAGACATCTGCAGCAAGATGAGAAGCAAGAGAAAGTGCCCTGCAGGTGGCTGCTGGCCATGACGAGAGGGCCCTGAGGCCCTGGGCCCATCCCCCTGCCTCTGGGCTAGACAGAACTCTCCAGAAATCTGGGCGGGTTGGGGGGGAAGAGTGCCCCTTCTCGTTCGTGACCTTGGCAAATACCATGGGTGGAGGAATTTGTCTGGCCTTGGCTCCAGCAGCCTTCGCAAAGGTGACTAGGAACCCATTTGTGGCCTCATCTTCCCAGCACAACCCAGAGGTGAAAGCTGCTTGTTGCCACCTCAGTTGGACTGGCCCTTGACCCTCCTCACCCTTCCTCCTGGCCTCCCTCTCTTCCCCGAACTTCTCAGCATGAAGGACAATTACTTGTTCCTGAAAGAAGTGAAGAACCTGGTTGAGAAAACCAACTGCGAACTGAAGGTCTGCTTCCAGTATATCAACCGAGGGGACCGCTGGATCCAGGTGAGGCCCTGCAGGCTGGGAGGGATGTGGTCCAAGGCTCAGGCAAGAAGAGTTGGCTTAACATCAGCTCCGTGGCACCCAGCAGCTCCGTGGATGGGAATTCTGCTATTGGCTCCTACGTGCCCATGTGCACAGAGACAAATGTAGAAGGCAATTCTCTGCAGCATTGCTTCTTTTTTTTTTTTTTTTAAGATTTTATTTATTTATTTATTTGACAGAGATCACAAGTAGGCAGAGAGGCAGGCAGAGAGAGAGGAGGAAGCAGGCTCCCTGCTGAGCAGAGAGCCCGATGCGGGCCTCGATCCCAGGACCCTGAGATCATGACCTGAGCTGAAGGCAGAGGCTTAACCCACTGAGCCACCCAGGCGCCCTCTGCAGCATTGCTTCTTGAAGTAGCAAAAGACTGTCCCCCAAGAGAGACTGGGTCACCATATGAGCAGATAGCCTTACCATGGAGTACTATACAACAGCGAAAAAGAAGCCAACCTAGAAATACAGAATGAACTTCAAATGGAGATGTTACTTGCAGGAAATGTAAATAGGATGTTATTATGTTTTAAGAAATGGGGTTGATAGGAGTCAAACATGCTTGGAGCAGGCAGAGACTATTTGGAGAAGGATATATAAGGAACCCCTGCCATCGCTTGCCAGGAAGGAGAACTAGGGAGGCTGGCTCATCTGATGGCTCTCCTTGGTGTCCCCACAGGATGAAGTTGAGTTTGGCTACATAGAGGCCCCCCACAAAGGCTTCCCAGTGGTATTGGACTCCCCCCGAGATGGAAACCTGAAGGACTTCCCAGTGAAGCAGCTTCTGGTGAGATGCTGAGGGCCACCTCAGGGTAGGGGGTTGGGGAAAAGATCCTGGGGACTCTTACAGGGCCGAGTGGGCAGGAGACCTGGGGGGCACCCTTGACAAGTTAGTCTATTGACCAGCACCTCCATCTTCTCATCTGCAGAATGGGTTAGTTGGGATAGTGACCTCCATGGTCCTTTCCTTGGAGAGTTTTCTCAGAGGAGAGCATGACACTACCCCACGGCCTGGCACACCACAGGTGCTCAATAAATGTACCATTGTTATCAGTTTCACCCACTTTGGAAAGCAGGAATGAAAAGCACCCTGACAAGACTTCTCAATCTCCTGGGTAAAAAATTTACTCATAGGGGAGTTTTCTCATAGGAAATGGGAACTTATGGGAAAGGTGCAGCTCCTGCCCTTGCCCCTACCCCACCCCCACCTTGCAGAACAATCAGTTTCAAAGAGGAAAGTTAGAGTTAAGCCATTGTCAAAAATTATGGTTCCAACTTCAAAGCTCCCTGAAGCTGCAGGGCTTTGAAGTTGGAACCATAATCAGTCTGTGGGTTTTTTTTTTTTTTTTAACAATCCAACCCCCTGATTCTAGAGGCCATTACCACTTCCACTGATGCCCTTAGCCACTGGTGGAGTGAGGGCAGAACCAAAACATCCTTCTTTTGTCCTCACCTTCCACCTTGAACAGGCAGGGGAGGTGAGGACAGAGCACGGAGCAGAGACTGGGATAGATCAGGGGCTCTTCCCAAGGTCGCACATGGGACAGCTTCCGCTAGAGTCGGAAACATTCACAGGCTCACCTCTACTTCTTGAGAACTTAACCTAGGGCCCTCACCGCAGGAAGATGGTGCTAGAGCCTGGCCTGGCATCTTGTCCCACTCCTTGACCTGAGGCAAGCAGCTGAACCTCGTCAAGCCTCAGTTTGCTCATCTGTAAATGAGGCTAGAAATGGCATTCCTCTCACAGAATCATTGTGAAGATTGAAGGCACCTAGAATGCGTCCTCCTACTCCTAATACAATGCTCATTATTAGCTGCCCTTACGGTTGTCATCCCACAGCCCTGGACATTGTCCTTGGTGAGGACTGTCCGCTTCTTCCCACACTGGGAGGGGTAGAGTCAAGCTGGTCTTCAGCAGCAGTGGCCACAAGCCTGAGAACCACAGCCGCCCAGCTCCTGCTCCCACGGTCTTCCCGGGTTGTCACCTGCCTTCAATGTTCCAGGCTGGCTTGGTGCCAAGGTCCACGGCTGCATTGTTCCTGGGGACCTGGGCCAAGCCCGGCTTTGTGCTGTGTGCCTGCCTGCCTACGTGTGCCCTAAAGCCCAGCTGCCCCAGCTTCCGGCAACACACACCTTACCATCTGGGGCTCCCGGGTGAGAAAGCGCTAAGCTGTAGCCATCCACGCCACTGGGCATGGCTGTCCCTTGAGCCTCTCAGCTGGGTGAGGATAAGGCACATCTTCCCACCCCAGGGGATATTTTTACCAAGAAGTTTTGTCAGGCAAGCTTCATTCCAGCCCCAGTACAAGTTCCCAAGCAAGGGCTCTACTGTTTCATCAAAAAGTCCTGAAAGGAACCTTAAAATTCAAGGGTCCCTGGGGTTATATTGTGCACCAACTCTCATTTCTTGGAGCTCTGTTCGAAAAAGGATTCTGAGGCTGTCTCTGGGCTCGGGGAGAGGAATGGGTTGGGACGGTCTATATGTTACATATCTGCCATACCTGCGTGAATCGGTCAGATGTTCCTAGGTAAGGCTGCGGGGACAAACAACCCGCAAACTGTAGGGGCTGACAACAGCAGAGGTCCATTTCTTGCCTGCACCTTGCACTGATGTCTGGTTGGTCTTCTGCAGCCCTGCTTCCGAGTGCCTTCCCCATTCCAGAGCCCAGGCTGAAAGTGCAGTGCTAGACTGGGAAACACCGTTCTCCTAGCACAAAGAGCAGAGAATGATTTGGTCTTATGGCTTCTGCTCTGAACGGGCATGCGTCACTTCGGCTCACATTTCACTGGCCAAAGCCAGTCACGTGACTGAGTCCAACACTGGGTGCGGAATTCTGTTCCTTCCGCGGGGAGATACCGCCATGCATACCAGCTATGGCTCAGGAAGCAAAAATCCTCTTCCCGGGGAGAGGGCAGCAAGTCTCTGGGCACAACAATAGAACCTACAGGTCTCCCTCTTTTACAGATGGGGAATCTGGTTCCTTCTACGGATGGGGAAACTGAGGGTCAGATAAATAAAGAGATAAACAGGGATGTCAAGGGCACAAAATGAGAGCCAGCCCTGAAGTCACCAGTGTGTCTCTGTGTCCAGAAACAGAGGCGCATGATGAGACCCAGTGCACACACGCACTAATACATACTTATATACCGTCAGGCAGGCCCACCCTCACGCCAGCCTGCCCACAAACTCAGCCTCCCTATGTCTTACCCCCTGCTCTTCAGTGGGACTAAGAAGACCCCTAGAAACCAAGTGCCCACAGTGCCAGCCCAAAGGTAGTGAAACAGTAGTCCTCAGTGGCTAGCTGAGCTGGGGTTAAGGACCTCTGGCTACAGGAGACTAATGATGGGTGTGTTCTCCCTGCCCAGGGCCCAGATTTCGGCTACGTGACCCGGGAGCCCCTCTTCGAGCCTGTCACCAGCCTTGATTCCTTTGGGAACCTGGAGGTCAGTCCACCAGTGACTGTGAACGGCAAGGCCTACCCCCTGGGCCGGATTCTCATCGGGAGCAGCTTTCCTCTGTAAGAGAGGCGAGGGTGGGGCTCAGGGGGTTGGGGGAGTGGGGAGATGTTACTCTTTCTCTTTAGGAGTAGCCTGGGCTATTCACACGTGGAGAGATTATCTGGGAGAATGAACCCCTTCCACGACTCTTAGAAATAAAACCAAGTTAGCCTTTATATCTTAGTATGACTTAGGATCTAATATAAAGCTAACTAGCTCTTCCCAAAATAGGAGGTTGTATAATGAGATTATAAACCAGGAAAGGAAGGGACGAAGGAGTCCATAAAAGGTAACTCAAAGAGGCTGAGTGGGAAGGTAGCAACAAGTCCTTGGGGTTGCCAATACACCAAAGAGGGATGAGAAGACATGGCCCTGCCCCAAAGTGTGAGTACTTGGCTCTTGGGCCTGTCCACAACACTGTCACTCCCTCCCCAGGTGACCCACTTCCCAATAAAAAGGCAGATTCTTCTTTGGTCAGGACAGTCACTACGAAGACTGAATACTGTGGGTCCTCATTTCACAAAAGGGCTGCCAGCAACCTGCATACATGGGATCAGCCAGGATTTGGGCACCAAGTCCCTGTGAGCTACAAGGGGGGATGCTCTACCTTCTGGGAGGAGGCCAGAGCCCGTTTGCCCACCTCCTCTCCTCCCTCCACTCAATAGTCAATCATCCATTCCTCAGGTATTTTCCATGCCCTAGCCAAGTGCCAAGTGCGAGCCGTGGCATTCTAAACCTGAAGTCCAGCCCCCACCTTCAAGGAAACAGTGGAGATCCCAGACATGAAACAGTCGGGGGCAGGGGGATGACCATATTCAGTGATAGAAAGAATGATAGGGAGCTGGGGAACCCAAAGAGGGGTCCCTAACCCCTTTAGGGAGTCCAGAGAGGGCTCCTTAGAGACAAATATTTATTGAGGGCCTTCTCTGTCAGGCACTGCTCTGGGCTCTAGGGATACATCAGTGACCCAAGCAGGCAAAGCCCCAGATCTTGGGAAATTTTCAATCACGGTGCGAGGAGTACAAAAAATCAACACGGAAGCCAGCAAATGAGATGCTTCTGGATGCTAATAAGTTGCAATGAAGAAGGTAAAATAGGGTTCCATGGCAAAGAGTGATGGGGCAGGTGCACTTTAGCTTTTGTGGTTTTAAGGAAATGACTTGGGAATCGAGACTTGAATGAGAAGGGAGCAGCCATGGGAAGATCAGAGGGAAAGGCATTTCATATAGATGGAACAGCAAGGGCAAATACTTTGAAGGGCTAGCTAACATGTAGGAAGTAGAACAAGGGGGAAGGGAGGGAGAGGAAGTAGCAGGTCCAGGCAGGGACCAAATCAGAGAGGAATTTCTTGGCCACTGGGAGGGCCTTGAGTAATAGTCTAAGGGCACTAGGGAGATCGAAGACCTCAGAGAGTCTAAAAGTCAGGAAGGGCTTCCTGGAGGAGGTGTCACTTGAACTGATTAAAGATGGAAGTTAAGTAGAAGTTAAGGTAACAAAGAAGCACATGGGCTCGGGCAGATTTTGGAACCATACCTGTGCCCTAGCCCCCTCCAGCAGTCCAGGCAGGGCCACTGAGCGCAGAAGATGGTCTCTTTATGTCAACTGACACCCTCAGTATCTGAAAAAGCTGAAGGCTGGGCTCCATGCCTTTCATACAGACCATGGCTCTAGCTAATGCCTCCTTCTTTCCCCTTGGGCTCAAACGCCTTCTTGTCTGCACCAGGGTCTCTCAGCCCTGTGGTTCAGGCTCCTTCCCCTGACTTTTGCTGATGCCTCCTAGGATACAGCCTGGGTTGCAGAGGCTGAACTGCTGCCGGCCCTCTGGTGAGGCAGGCACAGTGGGAGATCTGAAGAGCGGCCTCCTCCCCACCCACCCCTACCCCCAGGTCCGGCGGTCGGAGGATGACCAAGGTGGTGCGGGACTTCCTGCAGGCCCAGCAGGTGCAGGCGCCCGTGGAACTCTACTCAGACTGGCTGACCGTGGGCCACGTGGACGAGTTCATGACATTCGTCCCCATCCCGGGCAAAAAGGTGAGCTAGTCCCTGAGTCTAGAGTGAATAGGATGATGGCGAACCCATGTACTACCAGCTCTTGTCAGCAGGGGCCAGGATCTACAGGTAGTGGACTACATGCATAAAGGAAGAAGGAAGTAGGCTCAAGTTGGTTTGCCTGTTGTCGCTGTGGCGGGTAAATGTTTAATCCCATATACCAAAATACTAGCATTGCAACAAGTCATCAATGTACAAATATAAATGAGAGATTTTATGTTCTTTGATCCATACCAAGTCTTCAAAATCTGGTGCGTATCTTACTCTTAACCACACATCTCAATTCAGATTAGCCACAATTCCAGAGTCCAATAATCACGGGGCTCGTGGCTACTGTATTTGCTGTGATGCTCTAGAGAGCTCTGGGGTTATGGGCCTGGGGCTTTTTCATTTTCTGACGTGAAAGAAATGGCTGCAACTTCATACCCTGGAAATGTCGTGTAAATGGCCTGTCCTCTTAGCCCCTTGGAGACGCAGTTCCGCCCTGTCCGAAGACATTCTGGACTCTGAGCTTTGACACGATGTCATTGCTGAGGTGGAGGAATTTCTACAGCAGGAAGGGCGAAAAGTACTCTCCCAAAAGAGAGAAAGCCCAGCCAGGTCTCCTTGCCCCGCAACACAGGGAGGCCTGAGACAGCAGGCAGACAGGGCTCCGAGTCCCTGGTCCCTTCCCCCCTGCTGACACGGTCCCTCTGGACGTCCTCTCGCAGGAATTCCGGATGCTCATGGCCAGTACCGCAGCCTGCTACAAGCTCTTTCGAGAGAAGCAGAAGGAGGGCCACGGGGAGGCCATCATGTTCAAAGGTGAGTGCCCCTGGGACCTTGGCAGGGGGTGGATAGCTGAGCCCCCAGAGGGATGCTCGGGAGGATGGGGCTCGGGAGGATGCTTTGCCCCTAAGCATCCAGCTCCCCTTCCCTGGGTTCCTGGCCCACTCCAGCCTGTGAGCTCACCGTGGTGGGAAGCAGCGGTGGCCTCTAGTAACCCTCGCCATGGTCAGTCGGACCACCGAGCCACCCACCGCTCCTCATTATCAGCAGCAGGGCCAAATGCTTCTCCAGGACCCAATGGCACCAGACACAAAAGAGAGTTAGTTAATTGACATGTGATCTGTATTCAAGGAGCTTGAAAAGGAGATAGAGAAAAACAGACACAACGCAGTTTAGGAACAGGTAGAAAAGTGAGTGGACATAGACATGATCTAGAAGCAGACATCACCACCGTCAGTCCCGGAGTGAGAAACTACCTGCTCTGTGCAGACATTCCCTTCACTGGGCCAGATGTAGACGGGGATTAGGTGCGCTCTTAAATGAATCACGGAAAGAGGGGAAGCTGATCAGACGCAGACGGTGAGCCGGGTTAGAGAAGCCGTGACGATTTCTTCCTTACATGTTTTTCTTAAATTACTTCATGTCACTTTTCAGGTTGGTATCTCCAACCTGCCCACTCCCAAAAGTCCCATTACTGAGGCTGGCTGATACTTACATACAACCCTGCCTGCTGGATCCGAAGGCAGTGTTCCTGATGGTTACTGGTATCTAGAGCAGATGAGGTCAGTTTAAGCCCTCCGTCCTTTTTTGATTCCCCACCGATGGGAAGTCTTTTCTTTGGATTAGCAGGCATGAGTCTGGATTTTCTGGAGGCTCCTTGATATATTAAACATACTCTAAAGCTACACATAGGATATAGAAACCATTCTCTTTGTAGAGATAGGTCCAAGTGGGGCGTGGAGACGGTGCAGGAACAGCAGGGGCGTGACAGCCCCAATCTCTTTGCCACTGACACCCTGCAGGACTGGGAAGGGCAATGGGCCAGCAAACTCTTTCCAGATCAGGCAAAATGGAAAAAAAGAAGGAGGAGGTAGAAGAGGAGGAAGGGGAGAAGAAGAAGAATTATGATTAATAGCTTAGGCTCTGAAATCCGACTGTCCGGTCTGCACATGGGCTCTGCTATTAGCTACTAAGACCTTGGACAAGTCATTGAACTTCTCTGTGCCTCCGTTTACCCATCTTTAATGCTAGCAGCTGCCTCATAGAAATGTAGGGATGATTCCTGAGTTAATCCTTGTAAAATATCTAGAAGAGTGCCTGTCACACAGTAGGGGCTGGATGAGGGTTAGGAATTGCTAATCAGACCAAAAGCCAGGTGTGGACCAGGAGGCAGGCGTAGCAGCGACCAGGGCAGGGGCTGAGCATGAGGCAGTTCTGGAAAACAGGAAGGGTGACCTCGGGGTACCTGCTCTGCCTCCCTCCCCCTGGTCAGCTGCTTGTCCTTAGAAGCAGGCTCCTGGTGGGAGGCCCAGGTATTTGTGCTACCCCACCCTCTGGCCAGAAAGAGAGCAAGACGCCACCACCTGGTCTCTGGCCCAAGCAACATGGCCGCCCTGGCAGAGGGGCCTGGGTTCCCGGGGCCGGCCCTCCTGGGTCTCAGCCTGTCCTAGCTCCATCTCCCTCCTCCCCGCAGTTAGCCCAAAACCTGGGGGCTTGATAGAGGGGAGAATGCAGGCTGGGTACCTGAGGCTAGACTGTCCCCTGTGACCTCTGACTTCCACAGGCCTGGGCGGTATGAGCAGCAAGCGAATCACCATCAACAAGATTCTATCCAATGAGAGCCTCGTGCAAGAAAACCTGTACTTCCAGGTAAGAGCAGAACAGGGGGCCCTAGGAGGGGCGGGGGTGTGCCCGGTGACACCGCTCACATCCTCATGGCTTCTAGAGGGAATGACCAAGGGGTCAGGGCACATGACAGAGGGAAGGGCCTCCATGAGCATTCGATCCAGCCTCCCTCCATCACCCCCATGTAAAGCCGGGAGCTAAACGGAGGGGCAAAGGCAGGGTGTGCAGCTCAACAGAGGTCAGAAGCAGCCAGGAGACCAGGGAAGGAGAGCATAGGAGGCTGTGCCAAAGAGCCAAGGGCTCTGTAAGGCTAGAGCCCGAGACATCTGGGGGAGACACAGCCCTTTAAACTATGATGTGGGAGCACCTGGGTGACTCAGCCAGTGAAGCATCGGACTCTTGATTTCAGCTCAGGTCTTGATCTCAGGGTCATGAGTTCAAGCCCCACGTGGGGCTCCAGGCCCAGCATGGAGTCTACTTAAAAAATAAATTAATTAGGGGCACCTGGGTGGTTCAGTCATTAAGAGTCTGCCTTCAGGGGCACCTGGGTGGCTCAGTGGGTTAAAGCCTCTGCCTTCAGCCCAGGTCATGATCCCAGGGTCCTGGGATCGAGCCCCACTTCCGGCTCTCTGATCAGCGGGGATCCTGCTTCTCCCCCACTTCTCTCTGCCTGCCTCTCTGCCTACTTGTGATCTCTGTCAAATAAATAAATAAAATCTTTAAAAAAAAAAAAAAAAAGAGTCTGCCTTCGGCTCAGGTCATGATCCCAGTGTTCTGGGGTTGAGCCCTACGTCAGGCTCCTTGCTCAGGGGGGAGTCTGCTTCTCCCTCTCCCTCTGCCTACTTATGCTCACTTGCTCTTTCTCTCGCTCTCTCTCTGTCAAGTAAATAAATTTTTAAAAATTAATTAATTAAAATAAAATAAAATAATAAAATATGACGCAAGCTACAGACCTGCCTTCTAGAAAAATTGTCGGTATATGCCCTGGATTTTTATTTATTTTAGGGGCTCAGAGTCTCCAGAAGTTTGCCATGAACAGATCCCACCTTCTGAGTCCCCGTCCCATTTCTCTCTAACAGCATGATTTCTGTGATCTTCTGTCCTGCTCTCTCTGTTACCCCTGTCACCGGACCCTGATGGGAGGGGCACTGGAGAGGTGGCGGGGGGCGAGGTGAGCACTGGAAACCTCTCTGGCGTGCTGGGGCCCAGGGTCTGCTGCTGCTGGAGACAGGAGCAGGGTGGACAAAGCGACAGGAGTGTCCCCTCACTCACCTGCTCTCCCTCCTCTCTCCCTCAGCGTTGCCTGGACTGGAACCGTGACATCCTCAAGAAGGAGCTGGGGCTGACGGAGCAGGACATCATCGATCTGCCCGCCCTGTTCAAGATGGACGAAGGCCGCCAGGCCAGAGCCTTCTTCCCAAACATGGTGAGGCACTCGGGACCCCAGACTTCATCTAGGCCAGTGAGGGGCAGCCAGATCAGAGGGACCCCTCAGCTGAGGCTGTTCCCTCAGGAGGTCCAGGTGCCCGTCCTGGCTGAACTGCTGTGCGTCCTCGCCCACCCGCCCCAGGCCCCTCGTCCTCTCTGGGCTGCATTCCCTCCTAGGAGTGAGACGCTCATCCTAGCTGCCTCCCTGGGGTCCTGGGAAATCCTTTCCCTTAGCATATATCGAAGTGCTTTCTAAGTTAAAAAGGCCTTCACAGAGAGGAAGGATGCTTTTCATCCTAGGGGAGAGTCTTCTGTGAGACGGGGGAGGTTAGAACACACGCACGGGTACACACTTGCACGCACGCACACACCGATATGGACACGTATAACCACGTGCAGGTACCTGTACACAGCATACATGCAGAGGAAGGTCGCCTGGTTTTCCGCTTCAGCTCTACCACGTAGGAGCTGCTTGGCCCCCTCTGTGCCTCGGTTTTCTCATCTGTAAAAGGGATGATCGCAACATCTACGTCACGGGAGAGTTAGGAGTGCCCAAGAGCTTGGAACAGGGCCCCCGAGAGTAGTCGGTGCTCATTAAACGGGAGCTGTTGCCCACGCCCCATCACAGGTGAACATGATTGTGCTGGACAAGGACCTGGGCATCCCTAAGCCGTTCGGGCCCCAGGTGGAGGAGGTGTGCTGCCTGGAGACGCACGTGCGCTCCCTGCTGGAGCCCCTGGGCTTCTGCTGCACCTTTGTGGACGACATCTCGGCCTACCACAAGTTTCTGGGGGAGGTGCACTGTGGCACCAACGTCCACAGGAAGCCCTTCTCCTTCAAGTGGTGGCACATGGTGCCCTGAGCAGCCAGGGCGGGGGCTGTGCTGTGCGGGTCTCAGCCCGTCAGTAACCAAGATTGTGGTGGGGCCAGCCCTCGTGGTTCTTATGATTGCAAGATGTTCTTCAGCAATAACGATCAGGAAACTTTGGTGGGGGGGGGGGTGGAGAAAAGGACGATTATTTCCAGGACCTGGAAATTGCATGGCACAACCGGGGCCACACAGCCAAGTCGCAGGGAGAGAGAGACAGCCCAAGCCTGGGGTTCTGCTTTTTGGGCAGTGGAGGGTCGGGGCCGGGGGTTTTGCAGCACCGGCGGGGAGTGGGGGATGAGGAAAATCGAGGGGCTCAAATGGTCAGCTTTAGAAACCAGCCAAGATTTCTAAAACGAAGGAGCCTGGGGCAGGAGGAAGCCTGGTGTTTTATCTAGTCCTGTGGCTGGCAACAAACATGCTTATTGGAGATGGCTTTCTTTGAAGCGGATACCTCGCAATCAAAGCCCAAGTCAGGCACTTGCATTACCAAAAAGAGAAAACACACACAGCCGGGGCCTTGGCACCTCCCTCCTTCCTTCTCTAGACCCCTGGAACCGCCCCCCAAAGCTTCCCCCTACCTGCCGAGGACTTGACAAGGACCGGACTGTCCCCACCAGGCCTCCAGGAAAGGGGAAGGGACCTGGGACATCTGTGCCTTGCCATCTCTCAGAAGGGCCCCAGCGTCCACCAAAGTCACCCCCGATGAACCTCAACTTGGTACTTCCTGAAAAGAGCTGTGCCTTTGGCCAGCCTCTGTATAGCCCTGACATGAAAAATCAAGAAACAAAAACTCTGTACCCAAACCATTCCCCAAAGAGTGCTTAGTCTCTTGTCCAAAATTGAAGGAGGGGAGAAGGGAAGAAGGTTCTGGAAGCTCTGGGATCACCAGCTCTGGCAGCCATCCTCTGAAGGTCAAGGTCGATCCCATGGAAAGGGACCCTGGGACCCCCAGATGTACTTTGAACTGCCGTCATCATTTCAAGTTTCCCACTCCCTTGGAGTGTGCAGAGGGCTGCCTTCAATTATTCATTCCTTCCCGGCCTCTCTCAGACCCCCTTGGCTTCCTCTCTGCAGTGTAGAACATCCCTGACTAGCTTCCCCACTCCCTGAGGGTCCAATAATTTAGCTTAGAACCTTCCCCAGAAGTGGATTTTCTCAGACCTCTCCATTTCCAAGATGCTCCTTATACCTCATCTTTCTGATGGGCACTGGTTCTCGCAAACGCTTGTGAGGCTCCCCCCAGACCAGCATCCTTGAACCTGAGAGTGCCGTGGGTATAGATGCCTGGGCTCAGCCTTATCCTTCTCCTGCCTGGTTCTCCATTCCCTGGGCAATCCCTGGCCTCCCTCCTCCCATGCCTCCACTTCCTGTTCCCAATCCTATCCCTCCAAGCAGCTAGATGGGGACTGGTTTGCCACCAGCCAGGCTCAGGCCTGCCCCAGGTTATAATTAAAGACCCTCCAGTTCTCCCCAGACCTTAGACCCGACATCTAAGGACCTGGGCTGGCCCCCAGCCCAACGGCCAGTTCTGGACCAGCAGGTGGCCTTAGACACAGACTGTCTATCCCATGGAAGTTCACCAGCACATTTGCTGAATATCCTCTCATCTGCACATGACCAGATTAATTCCCTGGCTCCAACCCAGAAGACTCAGTTTCCACTAAAAAAAAGTTCCTTGAGGGCCAGCTGATGTCGGGAGAATAAGTGAATTATAATCCCACTTTGTGGGTTAAAAAGAACCAATGTATAGCCAATGAGACTGTTATAAATTTGTATTCTTGCGAAAACAGGATTTTCTTCTTGGGTTATTTCATTCATGCATTCAGCAGACGTTTCTTGTATGTCTACAGTGCTGGGCTCTGAGGATGTGGTGGTCCCTAGCAGGCTGGACCTGGTCCCTGCCTCTTGGAGCCAGTCAGTTCTCAACATGCCGTGTCCAAATCTAAATGGCCAACATTTGCCCTTTCAGTGATATGCTCTTCCAAAGTGGGAACCCGCTATATTCAGGAAATGCCCGGGGCACAGACCTTCCTGCAAGTCACTATTTTGGATGAAGGTAGAGGGTTCTTTTCCAACCAGACCTCCTTTCCCACCCAGCTGGGCCAATACCCACCCGACAGATCAGACCCCAGAGCCTTTAGAAGCTGTTGTGCCCCTGCCTTTGGGGGCCACAGCCCCAGACCTCTGCAACCCCAGAGCTGAAAACACCAAGTGCCTATTCGAAGGTGTCCATCTGGAGACTTAGAGTTTGTCGTGTGTGTGTGTTTGTGTGTGTGTGTGTGTGTGTGTTTGGTTAATGTGGGGTTTGGGGTTTTCTTTCATTTTTTTTTTCTAGCCTACCTTTAAGGGGAAGTGAGCATCTCCCATGTGGAGACATTGTGTGTTTATAAATTTTTCTAAAACTCTCCCCATCGGTAAGTTGGTAATTTCTGATGATTCTGGAGCCCCCAGGACTCAAACACCCATTCCCATCTTGCTTGCCCCTCCTACCCCGTGTGACTACCCGCAGTGTGCACAGCTCCCCCAGTCCCCATGAACTTATTGCTCTTCCCCATCCCCAACTTTCTATAAATGTAGACCTAAGATACAGTTCTGTGTTGCAAAACTCAGCTAAGTTCCTGTTTCGATCTTTATTTTGAAATACTTTATGTAAGAGGGAAGGGGAGGTGCCATGAAGATGGCAAGAAGCAGAGAAGTTTCAACTTTCTGGACGAGAGGCCATGACGGAGATCGAAAGATGTTTGGGGAAGAGCCTAATTAAATAGCAATAAAATAAACCATCAGAAGGGAAGTCATGTGTTGGTGTGATGTTCATTGTTGCCTCAGGGACACGGCCTGGAGTGAAGTAGGCCAGACAGGGGCACTCTTCTGGACTTGTCGCCCCTGCTCTTTTGGGCACAAGGTCAGGGCTCAGTAAAGGTATCTCAAGGGTTTGGAATCCCCCACACATTCAGTGGATGTGTATTCCATGGCCACCCCCAAGGTCAAGACCAATACCCACAATAAAGTCTGGCTGTGTTTTTCTGGTGGTGTTCTGCAGAAGGAGATCCTGAAATGAGCAACTGAGAACAGGTGATTTGTTATTTATTAAGTGCCTCCAAGAAAAACCAGGAAGGGAGTAAATGGAACAGGACAGGGAAGGGGAAGAAGCCAGATGAGAATGTGACTTGAGGTGTAGCCTCAGCCTGATCACTGGAAAGCCCTGGAGCATAAGTGCAGCTTGGAGCTGTCCCACCTGGAGGCAGAGTTTTGTACACCTGCTCTAGTCAATCGTTGGCTATGGGGACTTTGGCTCTCTGAATGGGCAAGGGGGCACCAGTAGTAATCAAAGCTTCAGTTAGCAGCAAATTCATGGGAGCTGGGGTATGGGCTCACAACCAGAAGAGGATCTGGTAGGGCACCAAGAGTGTCTACCACTCTGGACCATATCATGTTCTTATCATAGGAATTGTTACATGAGGACATTTGTGATTTGACTCCTGGTATAAAAATCCATACTACACAGCCATGGTCTAACAGGGTCTTTGTGAACAAACTCTCCGAAGCCCTAAAAATAAAGCCACCTAGTTACTTCCCAAGCCTGGAAACCACTCCTGAGCTCTTTGGGATGGACGTGGGGGCTTCTTGTCCCTCAGCCCCGTCTTGGGCTTCCGGACTGATGTTTTGTTGAAGCTATCTTAAGGAGCAACTGCAAAATGAAAATCACTAGTTCTCATACTCCCAGATTTAACCTGTGGGTCCGGCTGTCTGAGATCACTCTTCCCTTTTATACCCAACTAAGGTGGCCCAAGCCACAGCAATGGCAATCTTCACCGGGGTTTCCACATCCACCAATTTCTGAGACTCCCCAAGGGATGCTGGTGTGTTAAACCCAGCCCTGGTGGTGCTTTCATATCTTGGCCACTCACCTACCTCAGGATGGCTGGAAGTCACCCTGAGACTTCTAGACTTCTAGAACAGCACTTTCCAACAAAAATGTAATGCAAGCTATGCACGTAATTTTAAATTTTCTACTTATAGGACATCATTCAAATTAGCCACAAGGAGCGCCCATGTTTGAAAGCACAGTTCTAGAATCTTCTCTGCCAGGCTGAGCCCAATTATAAGAGTAGGCACATTCCTTAAATCCCCAGAGTCCAGCTAGTCTGACTGCAATGGCTAACAGAAGTTTATTATTATAATACCGAAAAGAGAAGCATAAAATAGACATCAGCCCTCCCTGGCCCCAGTGTGCAGAGCCTTGCTCCTGCAGAAGGTCCTCTTGCCTGAGTTGTGGCTGCTGCCATGTTACCAGAACTGGCCTTGCCCTCAGCAAGGGGAGTACCTTTGGGCAGGCCACCTCTGCCCACTGTCAAGATGAAAATCCCCATCAGCCCCATGGAAAATAGAACAGCCTCACTTCCACAATTCGACCCTGCATCTTCCTGCGAGACATTGTCTACAGGTCCCGGTTGAGTGGAGTTAAGGTCCCCATTATCTCAGCACCTTCATTCCTGATGGGACCTGATCCATACCTCAGTAGAGCCAAGAGCTTGTGGAAGTGGGATTCCTCCCCCAAAATAAAAAGAGCAGCCAGGGATAAATTCTGCCTGCCCCAGGGGGACATATCCAGGATCCTCACCCAAGCGGCGTCAGGTCCAGGGGACTGAGGGCAATGTTTTTGGTAACTCAATACAGTGAGTGACATCAAATGACAGCACGTGGTATCTCTTCCACCAGCTGGACGGCCAGAAGAAGGACATGCCCAGGCAGAAAGCTCAGCTCTGCGGCCTTGTCTCCAGGCTAGCTGTTGTGAGAAATCTGCCTTTCCATTTGAGCTTCACCTCTGGGCAGCCCAGGCTCCTTTTGAGCCCTAATGGCTGAGAAAGCAAAGGTCTGGGCTTCTCTAACTAGTCTGGAAGGAAAGTACCAGGTTCAGGTCAATCCTGCTTGTGCCTTGGCCCCTCATGCTCTATAAGCTAAGGCCCATTTTGTCCGTCGTGGGTATGCCTCCAGATGAATTTTATGGACCCGTCTCTCACTTGCATTCTGGAACTCTCCTTACATGCTATCCTGCTACTAGCAATGTTATAAGGGTTACTC